CTGTCTCTCTCTCTCTCTATCTCTCTCTCTCTCACACACACACACACACACACACACACACACACACACACACACACACGTCTTGGGAGAAATGTACAGATTTACATCATACCTGATTAATCAATTCAGTTAATGGGCTGACAATAATACTCCACATTCTCCAGAGATGTTCTTTGTTTTCTAATTGCTTTGCATTTTGGTTAATGACATTTAAAACAGAGTCACTGAAAGCTAACGGTGAAGTTGGGCCAGAAAGAACACAATCTACAAGTGTTTCCAGATTGAGAAAGAACCTGAAGAAAAAATACTGAGCAATGCATTAAACTGAACATTTTGCAGTACAACAAACATTTGTAACAGTTCAAAGATAAACCCATGAAAATAGGTGATTAAAAGTACAAAGAGTTACCTTTCATTTGTTATACCACATTCCAAGTTGTTGTTGAAAATTAATTGAATCAAAAACAAAGCAGGAGTTCCCTGAAGAAACAAGGCAGAAATGTAGTCAACCTTCTCATTATAAGGAAAAGTACATTTTTTTCAAGTAACTACATCAGAAATATAATCCGTTTGGGCTGTTAAAATCTGTTTTTTGCCTCTATTAAGGATATGACAATAATTAGCAAATTTGTTTCAATCATCTACACACAAAAATCAAACTCCTCACATTCTAATCATTGTGTTATACCTACACAAGAAACAATAATGGCTAGAAATTCAGAACAGAAGAAGAATGTTAACTGAAAACTTGCTAGATCACAATACCTTCTTTTTGCATATATAAATTAATGTTCCTAAACCTGCACAATTTTAATAACCAGCACTGTTATACAGGGTCCTACACAAAGTTTGTGGGAAAATTCCATCTTTACACAAACTATTTAAGTCCCATTAAATAGAAAACATTCCTCTCAAGCCCCTAAATCTACACACACAAAAAATGTTCATTATTCACATTAACTTTTAAGTAATGTCTTCAAGTTTTACATCAGATTTTTTTTTGTTTGTTTAAGCATGGTCAACATATTTTAAATCTAATTTTGGCTTTTTGAATCTAAATTTAGATTTCCCTTCTAAACAACATCACAAACATTTATCCTAATCTAATCATATCATTTACATTTAAGATACTTGCATTAAGAATATCCATATTAGCAACCTGATATGCTGGTGAACCTAATACTTTCTGAGGAAGTCCTTTAACTGTAATTTCCATGATGACCTATAAAAGATTAAATGGTTTTAAAGTAGAATTAGTCATAAATACAATGATTAGTAAAAATAGATTATTATTTTTAACGCTCTATTACAAGTAACATTCATGCATTAACATGAACCTATACTTAGTCTTTTCCCCCCCAAGAAAAAAACATTATGTAAGTTTAACATCTATTTTTCTAAATTGATCATGAGGCTACAGAGAACCATCTAACTTCTTGAGCTGTTACGCTGTTGTTGAGTGATGCCCAGTCAGTTCTGACTCATAGAGGCCCTGTATAGGGTTTCCAAGGAGAGCTGGCTGGTGGGTTTGAAGCCTCAAACTTGTGCTTATCCTACAACACTACACCAGGACTGGAGTTACATAGGTATAATATGCAACTGCCCTTCATTTTACTATTAACTGAATTCTCACATTGACACATGGTTGTTACATGCCGTTGGGTCAGTTTCAACACATAGCCAGCCACACAGTAAGGAGCTCTGGTTGTGTAGTGGTTACGAATCGGGCTGCTAACCTCAGGGTCAGCAGTTCGAAACTACCAGCTGTTCTGCGAGAGAAAGATGAGGATTCTACTACCGTAAAGATTTACAGCCTCAGAAACCCTGTACAAGGTCACTGTGAGTCGGAACTGAATTCATGACAAACAACAATAGGGTTTGAGGAAGTGACCGGTGAGTTTGAACCACCTATCTTGTGATTCTGCATTTAACCTACAGCACCACAGGACTTCTCAATACATGCAGATATAATATATTCAGTATTTCACAAGATTACTAACTAGACACTGGGTAGAATACTCAACAAATCGTCATATACACGTAGAACAAATTTTAACAATTTTTAAATAAGGATATTGTTTGTTCCAATTACCAGCATGTTTTGGGAAGTTCACAACCTTAAAATAAATCATCATCTTGGTTAGAGAGTTAAATGGAGAAGAACAATCAAGATGGTGGATAGGGTGGAAGTATAGTTAAGGAGCTCCCTCAGCAACAACACAAAATACAGGACTAAGCAGGCTCAGGGGCTGGTCCCAGAACTCTGAACCACATATAAAGGAATATTTACAAGACTGGAAGGCTTACAGCTAGGGGAATTTGTAGCAGAAGCAAGAAATCCATTGCTGTCTGCGCACCTCCATTCTAGTGACTATAGGGATGCCTGAGCTAGTGGACACCCCAGCCCCACCCTCGGAGTGTTCTACTATGCATGTGCACAGATCTCCTTGAAATTTTTTAAATAGACAGTTTCCACTAAAACCAAATGGCCACAGCCGGCCCTGAACTGTTTATAACTAGAAAAATGGCCTGAATGGGGATTGTGGAACGTGACAGGCAGACAAAAAAGGAAACAGGCCGAAAATTAAATCCTAAGTTACATCAAGATGACCAACAGGGGCATCTTGAAATTTCTCAATAAGAAGAGTGAAAAGGGAAGGGGATTATAATCATTGAAATTAAACAAGGTATACGATTTGCTGAATGTAAAACTGATGATATGCCCTGTAAACTTTCACTCAATCCACAATAAAAACATCGGGGGGGAGAAACTGGAGGGGGGGGCGGAAAAAAAAATATACACACAACCTATCAATTAGTGGTGCTCTGGTAGCGTAGTGGTTACAAATCAGGCTGGCAAACCCCTAAGGCCAGCAGTTCGAAACTACCAGCCGAACCGCGGGAGAAAAATTAGGCGTTCTGCTCCCATAAAGATTTACAACCTCAGAAACCCTGTATATGGTCGCTATGGGTCGGAACCTACTCGATGGCACTTAACAACAACAACTGTAATCTTCTTATATAATCAGCAGGCATTTGTATTTCTTTAGTTTATATTGTCTCCATCCTTTTTTCTTATCACATTGAGGATTTTTGTACTAGGCATGACTATTAAACTTTATTAAGATTTCGAATGACTGAAAAGAGTAATATAGCCTTTACTAAACAACAAACAATGCAGATAATTACTCAATATTGAAAATAAAAAGTGTTGTCCCAGGGCCTGACTTGCACAAGTATTTTCAACAAAATTCAGTTGTGCCATATGGCTCCTAAAGTCTATCACCTAGGTATTATACTTACCAGTGTTTTTGATACAGGAAATACTTCCGACTTCACGATGCTCTCCAAAGATTTTAGTAAGAGGGTTAAAACTTCAGAGCCTGGTCTCTCTTTTTTGTTACCTACCAAAAAGTAAAAGGGTAAATATACATGTAATTTTGAGATGAAAATATGAACTTCCAAAAAGCTACAAAAATTATTTAAATAATAATAGAAATAAAAACCATCAGCAACATGTACTCATTTAAAATAAAGTCTGAATGGGAACTCTTAAAAATTAGACATTTACATGCAACAAAAGAGATTTAAAAGAGCAAAGACAACCCACAGAAAAATTTCTTGGCAATGACAGAAAACAAGGCACTAATTTCTAAAATTCACAGAAAACTACACCACCAAACTAGGTCGAGTGCTTATCCTAAAGCACCACACCAAGCCTCCCATTGGTTGTTGTTGGTGGTTGTGTACCTTGGAGTCAGTTCCAACCCATAGCGAACCTGCACAGGGTTTCCGAGGCTGTAAATCTTTACAGGAGCAGACCGCCTCATCTTTCTCCTGCGGAACCACTGGTAGTTTCAAATTGCCAACCTTGAGGTTCGCAGCCTGATTCATAACCACTATGCTACCAGAGCTCCTTTTATAGCCATTATTATTGTTGTTAAATGCCAATGAGTAGGTTGAGACTCATAATGACAGGAACAGTTGGTGAATTTGAAGCCAAAACCTTGTGATTCAAACCAATGTGAAGGTCACCCAGCATATTAATGTACAACGCCAAAGAGGAACTCTCCCTTTGCCATTGTTGTTAAAGTGCTGTTGAGTAGGTTCCGACCCACAGCAACCCTGTACAGGGTTTCTAAGGAGCAGCTGGTGTGCTTGAACTGCCAACTTTGCAGTTTAAACAGCTTTGCAGTCTGGCACATTAACCCACAGTGCCACACCAGGACTCCATCAGACAGATGCAAATCAAAATGAGATACCGAACCGGAAACGTTGAACAGTCTAGGATGCTCACTGGTAACCACTTAGGTCTACTTGTAAGTGGACATGGGAAAATGCAGCAATGCAGACATGAGCTGAGTTTAGCCATGTTTCATTGACACCCTCTGACCATGAAATGAGAGAGACAAGGGGAGACCTAGCAGATTTGAAGTTTAGGGAGATGTGTGAACTCCTGAGCCCAAGGGCACTGACCTAGCCACTGGTAGTCAGAGCTGAGAGTGTAAAGGCCAGCTGGTGTGAAGTACAGGGGTGCACTTGAACTCAAAACTTGCACTTAGTACCCATTTGACCTAGCTTGGATGGCTATTGTTACTGTTATTAAGTGCCACAGAGTTGGTTCTGACTTGTAGTGACCCTGTATAAGATTGCAAGGATCAGCTAGTAAGCTTGAACTGCAGACATTGTGGCTCAAATTGACCTTGCAGTCTAGCACGTTAACCTGTAGCACCACACAAGGACTCTAGAACTCCAAGACAACGATGCTTAAAATACTGGGAGCAAGTATAAACTACTATGATACAATGAACTAGAACCTTTGCATATGGATGCAGTTGCTCAAAATTCCAACTGGAAAGGAAGGATTCTTCATATCAAAGGACAAGCTTGCATTAGATTGATAGGGATGGACAACCTAGACACTGGCTCTCTAACATGGGGAGCTATAAAGGCACAAAGCAGATAGCTTACAAGCTTTCATGAGCATGCTGAATTTCAGAACAAGTTAGAATCTCCACTTAACCGTTTTTGTATTTTTCAGATGGATCTCATGAAAGGAGTTGTGGGATGATGCTGACAGGATTATATGATTCAATTGTAATTGTTAGCAGGATTGTGACCGTCACAGCTGTATTTGTGGAATATGTGTAATAAGAGGGCGTAGTTAATCTTTCTTTTTAGAGCAGACTACTCCAAGACTATCAAGATGGAAGAGCATGAGTGGAGCATAAGATTCTACTTAGAAAGGCAGCAATAGCAGATATTGTGGCAGAGGCAATGGCATGGAGAGATAGGCAGCTGTGGGCTATAGGCCCATGGATGTGTGCTTGTGGAAAGAGGCTATCTTGCAGAATATGCCCTTACTGTTTAAATGAATATAGGTTTTTTTTGTATGTGTACATCAAATATTTTTGTTTTGTTCATTTGTGAAACATAAAAGGGAAGCCACAGGGGGGAAGTAAGGTAACTTGTTGTAGGGAAGGATAGTAATCACTGTTATAAAACAGAGCATTTTAACATAAAGCTGATTATCTTGTCTGTTGATTTTAACTAAACTCACAATAAACATTTTAAAACAAACAAAAACAATGAGATACCACCCCATATCAGCAAAGTTAAAAACAAAACCACAAATGGTGACAGTGTGGAGAGACTGGGACCCTCCTACATTGCTGGTATAACTGTAAAATGGTTCAACCATTGACTGTGGAAAACAGCATGGGGCTTTCTCAGAAATTTGGAAAAAAAACCCACTGCTGTTGTTTAAGTGCTGTCCAGTCAGTTATGACTCACAGAGACCCTGTGTAGGGTTTCCAAGGAAAGGCAAGTAACTGAACATGTGAGCATCAGTCTCCACAATTCTGAGACAAGAAGAACACTCTGGCACATGGCTACCACTACCAACTGCTCTGAAAGGAATCAAATTAGAAGGTCCTGGATAGTGGGAGAAAACGTGGAACAAAGCTCAAAAAAAAATTTTTTTTTTTTAATTGGACTTACTGGTCAGAAAGTATGCTGTTGGAATGAACTCACCCTTGCTGCCCAATTTTCAGTCAAGCAGAAGATGAGTATATGGAAAGACAAAACACTAATAAGGTATTGTTGTTATTAGGTGCCATCGAGTCAGTACTGACTCACAGCGACCTAATGCACAGAAGGAAACACTGCCCAATCCTGGGCCAACCTCACTACTGTTGCCACACCTGAGCCCACTGATGCTGCCACTTTGCCAATCCATCATATTGGGGGTCTTCCACATTTTCTCTAACCCTCCACCTTACCAAACATGATATCCTTCTCCAGTGACTGGTCCCTCCTGGCAATATGTCCGAAGTATGAGACATATTGAGTCTCCAAAGAGCACTCAGGCTGCACTTCTTCCAACACAGATTTGTTGGCTCTTTTTGGCAGCCCATGTCACTTTCAATAGTCTCCTCCAACAACCATAACTCAAAAGCATCAATTCTTCTATGGTCTTCCTTATTCACTGCCCAGCTTTCTCAAGCATATGAGGTTATTGAAAACACCATGGCTTAGGTCAAGAGCACCTTAGTCCTCAAACTGACACCTTTGCTCTTCAACACTTTAAAAAATATCTTGGGCAGCTCTGATCGTAGTTAGTGGTTACAAATCGGGTTGCTAACCTCAGGATCAGCAGTTCGAAACTACCAACTGTTCCATTGTAAGGATTTCTATAAAGATTTCCAGCCTCAGAAACCCTGTACAGGGTCGCTATGAGTCGGAACCGACTCCATGGCACATAACCACCACCACCAGTAAGGTATGCTGACCATGAAACGTTCAATCGTTCAAACTCAAAAGGGCAACATATATGTAAGGACAAAGTTGAGAAAGGAAGGGAAGGTGGATGGAATGGAAATAAAAACCACAGGAAGGAAATGGGAAAACATACTGCATGGAGTGGATTGCAATCTTTGACATAAAACAAAAGTGTATGACTGGTGGCATGTATAACTGTTGCTCTTATCCATAAACCTTAATTCAAGTTACACATAAGAGTCTGGAAACCTTAGTAATAAAAAGTAAGCTATCATACTATGAAAATCATTTTAAGGTACATTTTATATATGAAAACCAAACAATTCACTAAGGTGCTATATAAAAAATATGATCAGTGTAATAATAGTGTTCTATGATTTCCTTACCTGATTCAATAACTGATTTCACCAAGCTAATGAGCTCCTTCCAAATAGCATTGATAACAGATTCTGTCAAACAAAACAAAACGTAAATGCTGTGAAAATGAAGTACACCTCACCACAAAGGCATTTCCTTTCCTTCCCTACACAAAGTAGTAACAAATACAGCAATACCTTGCAATAATAGTAAGAATTCTCCTTGTAATACAATTCTGTGTTAATCAGTTTAAAAAACAATATTGCCTCTTTTTAATGATAGAAATTATGATTTTTAAAAGGATTTTAACAATTTTTTGGTCATGTAAGAATAATTACTTTCTTCTGTTTTCCCTTCATCTGTGGTTCTTAGATAATCTATATAGACCATTTATCACTTTGAGATACGGAAAAGCAATGAAAGGTTTATAAGATCCCCAATAATCCCAAGTAGGAAACTATGTAATTTAATAGTAATAAAATAGCAACACTAATTTAAAAAATATCTTTACCTTATTCCTTACAAGGCTAAAAAACACAGTGGTTTAGGTGCATAGAGCCTAGGTTTGATTAACAGCTCTACCACTTTGCTGACCTTTGCAACAGGTATTTTAACACCATGGGTCCTCAGTTTCCTCATGTACAAAATGGACTAAGATATAAGGTTGTTATGAGGACTAAATCAATACATGCAAACCTTTTAAAGCACAACTGGCCAACAGATGGTTGTTGTTGTTGTTGTTGTTAGGTGCCACAGAGTGAGTACTGACTCATAGCGACCTTATGCACAGCAGAACGAAACACTGCCAGATCCTGGGCCAACCTTACTTTTGTTGCCACGCTTGAGTCCATCAATGCTGCTGATGGTACTACAAACTATTTCCTATTTTTTCTTTTCAAATACACATTTAAACAAATACAAAAATTTTTCTAAAATATTTACCAGAAGCATCTTTTCCAACTGCAACAAAGCTATCATGAACAGCAGTGATAAATGTATTTGCATGTTTGCAAAAAAAAGAAGGGCTGCTGATTAACGGATGTTCAAGTGCCTCTGAAAAGGAGAGAAAAGGTTTAAGTATACAAAAGACTTATGAAATAAACTTCTCAATATAAAAATTTACATTGTCTTGTATGTTTTTACTATTATAAAAATGTTTCTTATTTCATATACAATTATGCAAATATTTTGGCTGCAGGAAAAACAACTCCCTTCGCCAATGCACCAAGTTATGGAATGCTTTAGTTAACTAAAATATATTAAAAACAATAAAATACCTAAGCTCAGTGCAAGTTTGTTTTGCTTTGCAAAACTCAAGACTTCTGGACCCAACAAAAAATGAAGCAACATTTCAAGTCCCAAAAGTTGAATGGAAGGGATTGCAGCCATTCCACCTAAGTTTGAACTCAAGTTCATCCGAGGAGTTACAGGGGTTCCGTATGGGGAAGCACCTTAAAAGAAGAAAAAAAGGCATTGATAACACTTATTTTATACTAACCAGCCAAATTAATATATTTAATTGATTTCTTTCTTAAAAAATCCTATCAATTAGTTTAAGCTTATTTCTCAAATAAAAGTCGTTATTTTTGCTGGAAAACCTAATTAATTTGATTCGGCTAAGAACAAAATGCCATTTAAATCAAGAGACTTCTCAGATACTATACCTACAAATAATATGTAAACATTTCTATAACAAATATTAAAGATTACAAGAGTCAGCCATTGTTGTCATGTGCTACTCAGTCGGTTCTGATTCACACCAACTCTGTATAGTATTTCTAAGGCTGTAAATCATTAAGGGAGCAGAAAGTCTCATCGCTCTTATGAAGAGCAACAGATGGATTCAAACTGCAGACTTAGCAGTTAACAGCCCAACGTGTAATTCACCACGTGTTGCTTTCAAGTGCATAAAAGTACTAAAATCTATACATTCTAACGTATGGTCGTTGTTGTTATGTGCTGTGGAGTGGGTTCCAAGGTTGTAAATCCTCAAGGGAGCAGAAAGCCTAATCTTTCTCCTGCCGAACAGCTGGTAGTTCTGAACTGCTGACTTGAGGTTAGCAGCCCGATTCATAACCACTATGCATAAAAGGAAATTCTAGATTAACAAACAACTGCCTTTCAATGGTATACATTAAGCCACATTTCTTAGATCTGTTAAAACCTGTTTTGACTAACTCTGGATCTGAAATAAAATAAATGTTGGATTGTAACACATCTCACATAATTTACTGGAAAGATGTTCATCTTTCTCAATCATAATACTATTAAAATAGCAAACACTATCACATAAAGAAGATAAAACAAAAATTTATGATAAATTTTGTGGTACAGAACCCCAAATTACTAAGTGCTTCATTTCATATGAACAGCATTTAATAAAACTTTACTTGAAGTCTGTTAAAAAAGGAAAAACAAGCAAGTTTTCCCACTTACCTTTGTGTACAGGTGTCATAGGACTTAGAGTTGGAGAGCTTAAACGAGATGAACTGCCTTGAGGTGAAGCATTGGAATCAATGCTTATTGTACTTTGAATCAGAGGCACACAAACCTAAAAATAGAAAAATTATGTGTAAAATGCTTAATTGCTGTATTTGTTCACAAATTTACACTTAGTTAAAATTTAAGAAGCAATCTAAGCTCTTGGCTATTGACTGTCTCCCTGCATATATGGTCTACAAATTGAAATTTCTTTAAATTAAAAAAGGAAACTCTTTATTAAATGGTTTTAAAAATATATATATTCTATATTCCAAAAAGAAAAGGTTTATGCATAGCCCTATTACAAATAAGAGTCGACTTGAATTTTACATGTTGGTAGATGCATTTTTAAAAACACCCTTGTTGTTTAGTGCTGTCCAGTTAGTTCTGACTCATAGCAACCCTGAATATGGTTTCCAAGGAGCAGCTGGTGGGTTTGAACTGCCAACCTTGTGGTTCCCAGTCCAGTGCTAATCCACAGCGCCATACCAGAAGTCCAAGAGAAAATGGAAAATCTAAATGAATTTTATATGCTGTTGGTAGATTCATTTTAAAAAACACCCTAGAAAGCAGTAACTAAGACACCTTAAAGCTCACTGGTAAGATAATTTAGGTATGAGTCAAAGGTAGTAATAGTAACTGAATAAAAATTTTCTAATAAGTGTGTTCTGGTAGAATTTTGCAAAGCTCATACTCCCAATTATGTTAAGATTGTTATTGTTAAACTACTGTCGATAAAAATCAAACAGACTGCCACTGCCACTGAGTCTGTTCCTATTCATAATTCTGTATAGGAATTCTGGTGTGGCACTATATAATCAACACAGGATTGGAACCACAGGGTCGGCAGTTCAAAGCCACCAGCTGCTCAAGAAACCCTACATAGGAGTTCACTAGGTGTCAGAATCAATTCCACAGCACTTAACATCAAGAGATATCCAAACCTGTAAATGTTTTCAAGAGCAGAAAGACTCATCTTTAATTTTTAAACACCAGACCTTTACGGTTCCCAGTCTAGTGCTTATCCTACAGAGCCACCTCACTCCGTATATATTATGTCCCTTATGGTGCTATGGGTTAATGCACTAGACTGCAAAGCCAGTTTGAACCACAAGGTCAGCAGTTCAAGCTTACCAGCTGCTCCTTTAAACCCTATACAGAGTCACTTACAGGTTGGAGCAGCACTTAACACAACAAAACAACAAATACATTGCTATCAATGTTCATTTTTAATTACTTTATGCTATTTTAAGTATAAAGCCTTAATATATTAAAAAATTAACTAGCTTAAAAATTAAAGCTTAAGTGGTTCAAGTATACTTAAGCTGCCCTTTTCAAGAATTCACTCAGTGCCATGCAGTTATTTGGAGTCCTGGTATGGTGATGCAGGATAACGCACTGGACCGCAAAGTCAGTCTGAATTGCAAGGTCAGCGGTTCAACACCACCAGCTGCTCCTTGGAAACCCTATACAGGATCATAATGAGTCAGAACCAACTCAATAACACTTAACGACAATGCATTTATGTAGTATATAAAACAAGGGATACAAATCCGAGAGTAAAATGTACTCAACAGATAAGCAAGGAAAAAAAAAAAAGTTAGTAGAGCTGTTAGCTTTATATCTAAATGCCAGTTAAAGTATAAAATCTAAATAATTTGGGATAGATTGTTTTTTAATGTGCTATAAGATAAGCACCGAACTGCGAACTTTAAGGTCGGCAGTTCACACCACTATGCAAGCGTACGTAGTGGATTTACACATTGGGCTGCTAATTTCAAGATCAGCAGTTCAAATCCACTACCTGCTCTGCATGAAAAGGTCAGTAATTTGAATCTACCATTTGCTCCTTGAGAGAAAAAAGTAAGGTTTTTGCACCTATAAAGAATGACACTCTGGGAAACCGTACGCAGGGTTACTAAGAGTCAAAACTGGTTCCACTACATGCAGCAGCTGCTATACAGAAAAGCCTCAGAAACCCTATGCAGGGTTGCTATTAGTAGGAAATGACTTGACGAATCATAACAATGGAGAAATAAAAATAACTGATTCAACTCTTTACCTACCCAGTATATCACTTAATCGATTTCTAGTTCACAACAAATTTTAATATTCTAAACCTTGTATAAAAAACTTAAAAAGAAAAAAGAATCTTACAATCTTTCATGACTCTAGAGTATCAAACTAAGAATACGTTTTTGAGTTTTTGCTCCACTTTGAACAACTGGAGAATCTTTTGAGGAAAATGAGTTCAAGTTATGGATCAAGAAGATCTCTCATGTATCTGAGGTCAATAAAGAGCAAAAGAATCACAGGTATCATAGGTTAATATAATGCTAAAATTATAAGAATTTAACAAAACATACATGTAAAGTAAAACTTGTATTGTTACCTGTTCAAAATTAGCAGGAAGATGAGGTCCGAGTCTCATAAGTAAATACCACCAAACTTCTAGTTTTGTTAATGCTAGAGATTCTGTTCGCACATGGATGGAACTCAAAGGCTGCATTAATAACTTGAGTCGTTTTGCACTACACAGTATATCTTAAGAAAAAAATTTAAAAAGCACAGTACTAAGGTTTAAAAACTTAATAATCAATTTTCAAAATGAGGTTCATAATAGTTTACTTTTGTCATAGTAAGAAATGGCTTTAAGTGTTCGAAAAAAACATGGAACTGCTCTTGCGTGACCTAAAACGTTCACTTGAAAAATTCTAGTACAGATGGACCAGAACATTTAAAGCAATAAAAAAATAATGTGTACCAATGGTAATTTTGCCTACCACAGAATACTTAATAATTTTCAGAGATCTTTTTGACTGTCATTGATAAGACGCTTCGAAGAGGTTCTTATTATCTAATGGATCAAAGCCAGGGATACGTCCTACAATGTACATAACAGTAACCAACAACAAATAATTATCTAAAACAAAATTTAATTAGTGTCAAGGTTGAAAACAGTCCTAGCTACTGAAGCAATTGCATTATCCTAATTTTACAGATGAATAAATGCACATTTTATGTTCTGTCAAAAGTCTGCCAAATTTCTTTCATCTATTTATAGTGCACTCTATGAATCATTATTACCCTCGGAGCCACTAGTTTGAAAATCTAAACACATTCATATACAGGCCTATCCCACATTAATTAACAATAATCAGATTGAAAAAACTCAGCATATAAACCCAATTTTATACATAATAAATTTTTATCAAGTGATTCCTGATGAGGCACTGTAGGATAAACACTGGACCACAAGGTTGGCAGTTCTAATACACAGCTGCTCCTCAGAAAATCTACACAGGGTTGCTGTGAGTTGGTACAACAAGTAGGTGAGTGGGATGGTGGGTATGTAATAGGACAGTCTAAATACAAATTTATCAAAAGGACTAAGGAAACCAAAAAGAATAGTGAATGACATTCATCAACACTTGTGTCTACTAGGCCATTTAGTTATTTAAATGTTAATTATCTATTCTGTATTAAGAAAATAAAGTAATACCATTGTGGAAACAACTTCTTGATTCAGGGATCTTCTGTTTAGAACGCAAACTCTGCTTTCGAATGGGCTCCACAATAGTAGCCCCAAAGCAGAGATAGCGACTGACAAGGAATGATCAGTTCTCTTAGTTTTATAAGACCTGCTTTTACTTAAGAACAGTATCATGCCCTATTTTATATTTCTTTTTCTAGTCTCCTACTTAGCCTTTCGAGCCAATGAGATTTATGTGGAAGTGTATGTAAGACTCCTGGAACGCTCTTTATAGGGAGCTCCCCTTAGCTACTTCTGCTCTTCTGCCTTCCCTCCTCCTTTCTGTAGTCTAGTCTGAAAGAAAGGCATACTGAAGGCGGCAGAACAAACGATAGGAACCTGATTCTTTGATGACAGAAATCTCTTGATTCTACAATACACCCATGAACCCTTTGCCTCTGGATCTATTTCCCATGATCTGAATCTTCAAAATTTGTAGAACTCCATTATCTTTTAATCCCATTTTTGCAACTTTTTAAAGTTCCCATATTGGATTGTATTCTTTGAAGCCATCCTTATCATTTGCTTTAACATGCAGCAATACATAATTCCTACAGATACGTTGTTGTTAAGAGCCATCAAGTCAATTCCTACCCATAGCAACCTTATATAGGATTTCCAAGGAGCAGCTGATGAGCTTGAACAGAGACCTTGCAGTTCAAACAACTTTGCAATCTGACACATTAGCCTGCAGTGCCACACCACGACTCCTACAGCTATGTTGTTGTTGTTGTCAGGTGCCATCGAGTCGGAACCGACTCATAGCGACTCCATGCACAGCAGAACGAAACAATGTTCGATCCTGGGCCAA